AGCAATCTTGTTCATGTGAAAGATCGAATTCCAAAGGATTCACAATCTAACTGTATCTATAAAATAAAGCGCTCAGAATGTGATGCGATGTACATTGGACAAGCTTCACGAGAAATCAAGGCCACAAGAAATGAAAACCATAGAGCATCTATTCGACCACTGAGAAACCCAATGGAACTAGAAAAGCTCGTAAGATCTATAGAATTCGGCCACAAAATTGATTATGAAAATAATGAAAGCATTCAGGAAAATTCCAGAAATCACAAACGACTTCTTATATCAGAAGCACTTCATATTAAGTGGAATGCAAACTATCTGAATACGAATGATGGACTAAGTAAGACAGAATTTGTTTGACCTTGTTCAAGCAGCCCCCCCCCCGCTCTCACGAAGTGACGCAATCAATACAAATGTGATAAGGAATTTTTACTATGCAAACACATGCTATCATATCCAATGTGCGTCAGTGGCATAGCGGTTAGGACACTCGCAGACCATGCACATGGGCCGGGGTTCCATCCCCGGCCACCGACGCACTCCCTTACCTCGCTAAGCCAGAAATAAAGCTGGTAAGAGGAAAGGTTGGGCATGAGGCTAGTAACCCTGCCCAGTAAAAAATAAACACTGCTACCGAAACTTCAAGCCACTAGCTTGAAGCCCTATGTTCCACTGAGAACGTGAACGAACAAAAAGAATCATATCCAACAATCTGCGCATTGGTTACAGGATTTCATCATCAGCTGACATCACTTAGAGAGCCACTGGAAAACCTGGAGTACTGGACAGGTGTCTCGTCATAGTTTGGACTCTTCATCAGTACGCACCCACCGGGGTTAATTAATTAATTTGGTGGTTAGTAACTAGCAGTGGAATGCGGGATGTGCATTTCGTCCTACTTTGGACCCAACAGCTGGATGTACCTGCATTTTTCAGTGAGTGATGGGGTTTTCACTGTTCCCATCCAGTATCCACCCATCGTTTCAAACGTCAAAGAGAGTTATCCACTAGACTCACTTGGACCACGACAAACAACCTCTCTTGTGCAACGGGTAACAGTGATTATTTAATTCAATTTGAACTTTTCCTGCTGATTGGTTGGACCGAAGTTTATCCGGCCCTCTGCCAAATAACTTCAAGTTCAATCCTCAGACATCGTTGAAGCATCTACACAAGGACCCGGTATATCTACAGGTCCTAAGTGAATTAATCTACACATGGTTTTGATATTTTTGCCGATTCACCTGACTGCCAATGTAAAAATGACCTCATTCTGAAGAACGACAATTAAGTTACGGTAGAGTATAAACTGAGATTCTATAAATTCTGGTTTAATAATATTACTACTTTGATGATAGAGCTGTTAGCAGAGGCAATAAAAATAGCGAAACGTCAGTAAAAACAGAAATATCGTTTTGCACTCATTTGGAAATACAAAAGCTTTTATAATAAGAACGAATATCACATATACCCAATGCCTAGATTTTATCAAACTATTAAAAGTGAACTTGGTTTCAACACATACAAGTTGATAATAATAATAATAATTTGAATAAATTTGTTCCCGTTATGAATTTAGACAAAACAGTAAGATGACGTAATTTATCTGAATCGCGTAATGTATTTGCGCAAGACATTTCAAACAATCTGATCACACACAGACTTAGGTGTGTGATGAAGATTTTTAAACCAAAGAAGAGAGATGTAATAGTACATCTACCCTGGATGGTATCAAAACAAAGTTTAACCAACGGAAAGTTTATTGTGATGACGAATTGTTTTTGAATGCATAAAAGTGTGGTTTGAACTTCCTAATTGCCAGCTAGGGTCTCCACAAACTTTAGGATCCTTCCCAAATACTTTTTTTGGATAGGTTTAAAATACATGTAAATATCAATTTTATGTCCTGTCTCCTATGTAATACGTTTCGCAATAAAGGACCTAGGTTGTCTGTTTTCACCATTAATGGGTGAAATTATATAAAGAGTTAAGAGGTGAGGAAATAGACTTAGGTCAAGTTAAAAGAACATATTGTTTGAGTGTACGTATGGCCACACACACACACACATAAGGAGGACTCATCGATCTCCGCAAGTAAGGGTTCGCATTAGACCATATTCCTAAATAGCTTCAGAAGCAAGGAAAACGGTCTCACCTTAAATCCCTCTAAATGCCAAACAGTCAATTTCACCTTTAGGCATAAATCTGACCTAAACAAACTGGTTAGAACTCACGAGGTGTGCAAAGTAGATGGCACTGAAATAGAAACCAAGTCAGAAATTAAATACTTAGGCATCATTCTATCTGCTGATCTTTCCTGGTCGTCTCATATCTTGATGATTTCTAAGAAAATATTCCGTCTTACCTTCTACATCAAGAAGTTAAGACATTCTGGTATAACCCAACCCTTACTCTTACGATTCGTTAACTCTCGCATTCTGGCTATTATTCTCTATTGTTCCCCTTAGTTTTTCCATGGGCTACTGAAGAAAGACTATGCCTTATTACACGGGATGTTAAATGTTGTCGGCAGGGTAAGCAACGTGTCACTTAACCAGCTTGTTAATTTTCTGGTTGACAGGCACATGGACTCATGTGAAAAATGGGCTCAATCCATTTATCTAACTCACACCACCCTCTTCATCCACAATTCTCCCCTTGTATCTCATCAGGAAAAACCAGAAGCCTATATAAGCAAATTATACGCTAGCACTAGCAAGTACAAAAACTCAACCATACCCTACTTGGCTCTTGTTCTGTGCGACAAAGAAAGCACTAGGCGTGAAACCTATAACTGATTAAACAGTCAGTAGACACAACTGGATCTCGTCTTTCCAACTCATATCATTTATAGGTACAACGTTTCTTTCTTTCTTTTCCTTTTCTCTATATCTCTTTTTCTGTTATGTGCTGCTTTGTTTCTTTCTTCCTTACAAACTCTACTTAAAACATTCTTGTTCGTTCTTTCACATTCTTTATACCTCGACCTTTTTGTTACCGCTTACGCCAGTAAATATGTTACCATCTACTTTTCTAGCACCTTCAAACACTCTGTTCAATTTTTGGCTTTGCTACCGACATGCCAATACGTTGTTGTTATAATGAACTGAGATTACCTTAATCCATGTAGAATTTTATTTATTGATAATGTACAATACTGTAGTGAAATGCTGAGAATTCCATTCTGTATTACAAGTACTCTTTTGGAATAAAGCAAATTATTATTATTATTATTTAAAAAATAGAATCCCAGAGCGCATTAATGGTGAAAACAGATGACCTAGCTCCTCTATTGCGAAACATATTACAGAGGAGAAAGGACATCAAATTAAATTTAACACATCTTTTAAACCTGTCTATAAAACGTGTTTGGCGCGTATCCTAAAGTTTATGGAATCCCCAACTAGCCATTAGGAAGTTCAAACCACATTTATGCGTTCAAACAGAATTCGTTATGACAGTAAATCTTCTTTGGTAAACTTTGTTTTGATACCATCCAGGGTAGATGCACTATTACCTCTGTTATTTGGTTTACTGAACTTCTGAAAAATGTGATGTAATTGCGCTATACATTTCGAATAATCTGATCACACATTTACTTGTCAAGTCAATATATATGGAAAGGTTAAATTAAACAAAATGACAAAAAAGAATTAAGAATAATTAACACAAACGTTTATGAATAGCCTCAGTGTATTTCAGTAAACGCCCTTGACCGTTTTTACAGATGACCTTAAAGGCTGAGTTAACATCAATCTTATGGTTCATCTCGATTAGGTGTTCAGCTATAGACAAAGTTGGTAGTCTGACACCTGCATCTATTGACTTGTCATAATTCATCTGTTTTTATAACCATTTTGGGATATGCTCGCTGTTCCACCCTCACATGCAAAGCGCGATTACTCCTCCCTATGTATGTATGTCCACACACACACGAAAATTCGTAAATTGTGTGGGATGTGACATAATCACTTGTGCACTTTTGAGGTTTCCAGTGGAGCATATTTTTAGCTTTTTCCACAATTACAAGCTCGGCTGCATAGTAGGTTCTACGGATGATCGAATTCAACCTTTGTCTCAAAATCCTACTGTTTATTTATTTCCCCGTTATACGGTAATTAGATGAAAACCTTTTTCTTAGGGACGGTATGGATTGTAGGTTTTAGAGACTAATTGACTTCTACACCAGTTTAAAAATTTTAAAGGATATCCATTTTCAAAAAGACTATCCATCAATATTTCTTTTTCTTTGTCCATAACATCAGCCGTGCAAATACGTTGAATCCTCTTAAATAGACACTTCACCAAGCCTCTCTTATACTGTAATGGACAGAAGCTGTGAAAATTAAGGTATTGCCCTGTCCAAGTGGGCATTCTGTAGATAGACCGTCTTATTGAGCAATCATCTCTTCGACTCAGAAGTATGTCTAAAAATGCGGACGTTTACATGTCTTATGTTAAAAAGTTATCCTTTGATTTAATTTCTAAATTACCCTTCTATAAGAGATATGTAGATGATATCAATTTGATATGCGACGACCATGAAGATGCGCGACTCGTCTATTAGACAGACAACTCTGTACAGAATCATGTTAGTTTTACATGCGAGGAAGAGAAAGTCGCAACCAGCTTGCATTTTTATGTGATCAGATTGTTCGAAATGTATAGCGCAAATACATCACATACTTTTTTCAGATAATCTCCGTCTTCTAAAAGGGGACTAATTGTTTTAAATTAGTGATCTTCATTGTTATTTGGGCCTTCAGTATGTTCTTTTAACTTCATCGAAGTTTATTTTCTCACCTCTTAACTCTTCATTCTTTTCACATATACATACTCCTATATGACAAGTCTGTGTGTGATCGGATTGTTTGAAATGTGTTGCGCAAATACACTACAGGATTCAGACAAATTATGTCATCTTATTGTTTTGTCTAAATAATAATAACAATAATAATAATAATAATCTTATAAAAAATATAAAATAAGACAATAGAACTTACAAAATTTAGCCTTAAACCTAATGGATTTGAATTGAATATATCCACCCAATGATGAACACATGGTCGTGATAAAGTCTCTAGATCAGGTAAATCCAGTGCAGCTGACGCAGATGAATCCACATGTTCAGTGAAACGATGATGATTTGTCACATCACGTACACTTAAACGCATCCAAGCTAAATATTCTGAATCTAATGTACTGAATGCATACGTGTTACTATCACTAACATCAGAAAGCCCAATACTATCAAAATTGAATTGATGCAGCGGGGATAGTTCAGGTGAATGATCCATATGACGATGCTGATTGTGATGCTGAGCATTATTAGTATTATTACATACACCATTTAAACAGCATATATTATTATTATTATTGCTGTTGTCCAACTGACACAGATCTTTATTTTGACCTCTTGATTGATGAAGATGACTGTTGTTAACAGGATTACAAAAATGTTGACAATAATGAGGTGATACATCACCGCCGCCGCCGGCTAGATGATCATCGAATTTCACCGCTCGATGCTCTTTACATCTATGATTACTCTTCATAATTATATCATGTCTATCATTAACAAACAGACTTGGTGTTGTTTCATTCAACATTTCACTGGATACATCTAAATTCCATGGAACTGGTGGAGGCAGTAGAAATGAATTACCATCATTATCATCATCTGTTGGTGATATTGACCTACTCTGAAGTGCATCTTCGCTTCGGCGTAGCTTTCCTTCTTCTCTTTCATTACCGTCGTCGTCACCATCTGCTTCTCCTTCTTTTGTCTTTCCATTCCCTATACCAGTATCTGAATTATTCGAAGAATTTGTTGTAGACGCTGTTACAAACGGTGAAATAATCGCCTCTCGATGATTGTCTGATAGAGAGGGCGGTATAGCAGCACCACCAGGAGCAGCAGAAGTAGAGCAGCTGTTATTATCTGAACGATCACTAATCGATGAAGAGAAAACTAGCGGTGACGGTGTGAGTCTTGAAGGAGAAGAATGACCCTCAAAATTAGTATTATTATTGTGGTTACCTTCAAATGAAGACGGTTCATCATTTAATGATAACTTTCTAAATTCTGTAATAGACTGTGAAGAATTCTCATCCTCGCATGAATGATGATGACGAAGGTATTGATTATGCACAGCGTGTTTCTCATCGCCAACGTTGGCTTCCATAGATTGATTTGAACGATTAAATAAAAAGTGCGACTGAAGTCTAGCTGGTGATACATGAACTGGACGAACTGTATCATAACTGGAATTAGTTTGAATAGATTCTGATTGAGAATTAGAACACATAGAACCTCCTGAATGATGATTGGGACTAGACTTTTGTGGTGTACGATAATGTTGAATAGCAGCAGTAGAGTTCGATGATGAAAGGATGATGGGATGATCAGTAGCTTTCATGAGTACAGCATTAGTACTCATATGACGATGACTGCTACTGCTAGTCGTGGTGGTTGTCATAGCAGCAGCAGAAGTGTTACCATTTCGACATCTTTGTTGTGAACTCCCACTGCTGCTGCTACTACTGTTACTTCGTGAACGAATTTCTTTTTCAAATTCAGTTAAACGACAACCAGATGATGGTTCAGCACTTGTAGGAGTAGTAGCTTCACTTGCCATATATTGACTGGCAGAAGTAACAATCTATAAAGAAAGGAAACAGAAAATCAATAACAGTAAGGGGGGGGTTGAAAAGAGGGGCATATTCAGTCGCTATTAACACACCTTTTAGTGTCGTATTCTCTGAATTGAATTGGGTAATTTAATTGAATAGCTTCTACAGTCATCCAACTGAAGAACTACACGACTCAACAACTCAAGGACAATACATCTTGAAAAGACTGAAGAAGAAAACAGAAGACTGTTACATTATCCAGTTGACAAAAGAAGAAGCACTTTTTTATTTTTATTCCCTTGTGTTCCCAGTGAAGCATTTAGGACTATAAGTTTGAGATTTGAAGTTTCAGTGGTGCATGTGTGTTTCACGGAGTACGGTTGCTAGCCTCACGTAAACCTTCGCTCTCAACATCCAGAAGAGGAATCTCATCGAAAGTGGACACCATGAACACTTTTTCCATAGTAAGATCTATGAAGCTTACACCATTAAGACCGCACACATACACACCCCTGCATCCAAAAAACCTGCTCTATCTGAACCTGTGATTCAATGGAGACTAATCGGCTTTCGCGTTCGCTATCTGAACGTATCACTGAACATTTACCCTCACGGTTTTATTATTATTACCTTTAATTCCTAGAGGAACATAGGGCTTCAGACAAAACGTCTCCATCGCGTTCAGTTTTTTGCCAACTTTTTCACTCCGCTCCAAGTCTGCCCACATACCTTCATCTCCTCTTCACATCACCTCCGAGTTACTTCACCCACACACTGACGACCAACTCGCCGCTTCCCACTCTGTCGGGTTCCATTCGAGGGCTTGTCTAGTGATGTCACTTGGTGCCTTGTTTCCTCAGAATATGGCCAATCCATCTCCATTTCTTCCTGCCTACTTGTTTCACAATCGGTTCCTGCTGGGTTGGTTCGCTCATTACCAGAGATCTCTGTTGCTGATCTTTTCTGGCCAGCCATCTGATCTTGAGTAGTACTAAGCGAAGACAGCTGTTAATGAAGGTCTGAAGTTTGTTTGAGATGCTCTTTATGACGCGCTGGCCAAGTCTCTGATCCGTATAGTAAGTAGCACTGACTTCACATTGGAGTTGAAAATCCGGATCTTATACTCGTTTTGATGGTGAGTTCTGTTGACCTCCACACAGACTTGAGAGTAATGAAAGCCTGTCTTGCTTTCCTGATCCTCGCTGCTTTGATATCCTCGTCAGTTCCGTCGGCCTGTAGTTGGAACGATGCTTTCCAGGTAGGTGGGTAGGTAAAGGAGGTTGTTTCTTTCAGGTTCCTCCCATTTATACTGGCTGATTGTCGTCTGTTGTCGTTGTTGCTGCTGCTGTTGGCCAGGATCTTCATCACCTCTGCTTCCTCTATGTTCACCTGAAGCCCTCTCTTTGATACTTCTTCTATCGCCAAATTGTTGCTTCTCACTTGCATATCTTCCAGTTTGTGGGAAATCAGACATATATCATCGGCGGAGTCCAGATCCTCCAAGTCTTTTGTGTGAGTCCATTTATGCCTGTTTCCTCATTGCCCGCTAACTGTCTGTCGCATTATCCAATCTACTGCAATCAGGAAAATCATTGGCGATAGTATGCAGCCACTTGCCTTACTCCCGTCCTCACTTCGAAGTATTCCGTAAGATTCCCGTTGTGGATTACTTGGCATGCAGTATTGTCGTACAACTGTTGGATAAAATGTTGCCAAATCACAGTTTTATAAAGGAGACGAAAGATCCCCAACACCTATATTTAGGAGCTTAACCAACTTCACAGTGTACATGAAGAGGATAAGGAAACCGCCGGGAACACACGCAATCAGCACAGACAGTTATTACCCTCATGAAGAAAAGCGAAAGCCCACTTCATCTTGAAGTCAAGACAGAATATGTCTCCTAGGAGAACAGTGAAAGCTTTGCAATTCAAACAGCCTAGCTGAAAGAACGCAATAACACACACAGAAAGACATTGTCTACTGACATTTGCATTATCACGGCAAAATGAACACAGACATCTGTTTAACTATCAACTGAAAGAGAATAATTAAGAAATAGGTCAACGATAAATCAACCATTCTCATACAGCTGATAACTAAGACACACGTAGTGGCAAGTATCGTTGTATCATTTGAATATATTTTTCCGCCAAAACTTTTTTGTGCATCAATTTAGACATAACAGGAAGTGAGTGAGTGAGTTAACAATTTACTGTAACCCACAAGGACACATGGTTAAATACACTGATAAATTTATAATACAAACAAATTTAAAGCATTCAATATTTGAATAACCGTCAATCATTTGGTAAGTAAAAAACCTGGAATAACTAAAATGCCTGGCATTTCTAATACGGTAATTTCAATTTCAATGTAAATCTAGTCACAATCTTAACACAAGTTGAATAATCATTGGAAACGTCAGAGAGCACTGCACATCTATTTCATGCTAGTTTGGGACTCTTCATCAGAAATCGAACCCAAGACCCCACTACCAGGGACTTTCAGGTTACGAGGACAGTCCGTCTTAATAAGACTGGTTGAATAGTCGACGAACCTCGGCCTTGTTATCTGCAGATCACTGTTTCAATCATTGATGGAGTCGTGGACACACACGGTGTTGAAGAGTCCCAAACTAGGAAAAAACAGCCGTCCAGAACTGCCTGGCTTTTATTGATCCTTCATTTGATGTTACTTTGTGGCTGAATCATACTGAAACTGAAATTCCAATACTGAAAATGCCATCATTTTAGTTGTTTTACATTCCACTCATCATCCAGCGCTTAGAGAACACAAAAACACTTGACAGTGAGGTAGGCATACAGGATGTCTATGCGTCACTCAACATACTTTAAACACTAAGGGCACCCTTAGTAGGCACAGTTAGTAATTAGAGAATACTGTAGGACGAGACGAGTAACTAAGAAGGCGCTACAGCTGACTCATGATTTGTAACATTCCTTTTCTCTATTGACCAGACTTCTCCTCTTTACTTGCCCACCATAGTGCTTATGCAATACACGCTCAAAAACAACTGCTATCTTGTTACTCTCTGTACGCGCTATCGGCCGGTATTTCGGATAAATAAGGACTTTTGATATTAATCGGTGATGAAATTTGAAACACCTCAAATCACTACAAACTATAACTTGAAAAAAAAGTGAAACTGTAAACAGAAAACACCAACTGTTGACTTACAGGAGAAATCTGATGGTAAAACCGTGGAGAGTTCCTCGGTTGGATAGGTGGAGCTGATTAAAGTTAGAAAAGCAAAACAAACAATAGTACAATTAATGAACATATTAATGATGAATAATAATATTTACTATAGTGCGCGCGCTTTTCGAGTACTGCGCTACATTTCCCTTATTTATAAAAACTCTCGTTTCTGTAAAATTTCATGCCAAGAGTTTGTGGAAACTATCACAATTATTTACCTTTCGAACACTAAATCCAAGGATACAATCTTATTGACAGATAATACATATAACTAACTATTTGGATTTGTGGAATTTTTAAACATAAACACATCTATAATTGTATATATTGTTGAATTTACATGTTCAAGTTGCTCCAAGTCAGTGAGTTTATGGTTGAGATATCATTTTAGTTAACTGTGCTGAACTATATTGCATGTTGTTGTATTGTATCGTTGTTGTCGCTTTTTGCCCTTTTTTCTGTGAACTGTTTTCCTTTTGCTGGTGTTGTTCTCATTGATTTGTCCGTTATTTTCCGATTTTGAGGGGAGCAACCCAAAAAGTTGCTTCTCTCTAAACTTTATCTTAATGTAATCATTCCTTTCTCAGGCGTGAGGCTAGCAACCCCACCCTGTAAACAAAATTGCTACAGAAACTTCAGCAGAATGAACCTCTTTGCACCAAAAGAAAAAGTCTGTGTGGGGACATGGAACGTCCGAACTATGTACGAGACCGGCAAAGCTGCCCAGATCGCCAACGAGATGAAAAGATACGGAATCCAAGTGCTGGGAATATGTGAAAGCAGATGGAATGGGAGTGGACTCACCAAATTGTCAACGGGTGAGTCAGTGATCTACTCCGGTCACCCAGAAGATAACCACACGCACACCGAGGGCGTGGCTATCATGATGTCACCAACGGCAACGAAAGCCCTGATACAATGGGAGGCGATTTCGTCCAGGATAATGACCGCCAGATTCAACTCCAAAGGAAGGAAAGTGTCAATCATACAATGTTATGCACCCACAAACAACGCAGACCTCGAAAAGAAAGAAGAATTCTACAGACAACTACAGGCAACAATGGACAATACTCCAGCTGGCGACATGAAAATACTAATGGGAGACATGAACGCCAAACTGGGACCAGACAACACAGGAAGGGAACTCATCATGGGTAGAGAAGCTCTAGGAGAAATGAATGAAAACGGAGAACTCTTCGCCGACTTCTGCGCCTTCAACGAACTAGTGATTGGTGGCAGTGTATACAAGCACAAAGATATCCACAAGGCTACATGGGTGTCACCAGACGGGCAAACCAAAAACCAAATCGACTTCATCTCAATCTCAAGGAAGTGGAGGCGCAGCCTACTGGACACAAAAGCAAGAAGAGGAGCAGACGTTGGCTCAGACCACTATCTCGTACAAGGGACAATCCAAATCAAATTAAAAGCTTTCAGGGAATCAGGAGCTGCAGATAGACCACAAGCCAAGTTCAACACTCAAAAGCTGAAGGACCAGGCTACAAAGGACATCTTCATTGCAAGCATAAAGGACAAAGCCGAGACACAAATCAACACCAGCGAAAGGTCAGCGTCGAAAAGCACTGGAACAACTTGAAAACGGTGTGGAGTCAAACCTGCATAGAAGTTCTAGGCAGAAAGAAGAGACAGGACAAACAGTGGCTCACTACGGACACTTGGAAACTAATAGAAGAGAGAAGGACAGTGAAACAAAAGATTATCCAGTGCACTGACGAGCAACAAAAACAGGAGCTGAATGCAAGCTACAATACACTGAACAAAAGAGTGAAGAAGAGTGCCAGGGAAGACAAAAGAAAATATTATGAAACCATGGCAAACGAAGCAGAACAAGCTGCAGGCAAAGGAGACCTCGCCACACTCTACCAAACAACTAGGAACCTTTCGGGCAAACGTTCGACACAGATTAAGCCAATAAAGGACGACAATGGAAAGTCAATCACCAAAGAGGTGGAACAGAGAAAGCACTGGGCTGAACACTTCAAAAGACTTCTAAATCGTCCGCCACCTACAACACGCCCAACAATACCAACAACGGAAGCAGAACTACCAGTGAACACTGACCCCCCGACGAAATCAGAAGTCCTGAATGCAATCAAGATGCTAAAAGCTGGGAAAGCAGCAGGACCAGATGGAATCCCAGCAGAAGCTTTGAAAATAGACCCAGAGACAACAGCGGACTTGATGACGCCACTGCTGGAGAAGGTGTGGAAAGAGGGCAAAGTACCCGAGGATTGGAAGAACGGATACTTATTCAAACTTCCAAAGAAAGGAGACTTAAGTCAATGTAAAAACTGGCGTGGAATTATGCTTCTGTCCATTCCAAGCAAGATACTAAGTCGCATCATCCTGGAGAGAATCAAACAAGCCCTAGATGAAAAACTTCGTCCGGAACAGGCTGGATTCAGGAGAAACAAATCATGTATTGATCAAATCGCCACTCTACGGATCATCATTGAACAAAGCTTGGAATGGCAGTCACCTCTCTATCTCAACTTCATCGACTTTGAAAAGGCCTTCGACAGCGTCGATCGAGAGGTCATTTGGAAACTACTTCGCTACTACGGGGTCCCATCGACAATTATACATCTCATCCAACAGTTATACGACAATGCTGCATGCCAAGTAATCCACAACGGGAAACTTACGGAAGCCTTCGAAGTGAGGACGGGAGTGAGGCAAGGCTGTCTACTATCACCAATGATCTTCCTGATTGCAGTTGATTGGATAATGCGACAGACAACGGCGGCCAACGAGGGAACAGGCATAAAATGGACTCACACAAAAGACTTGGAGGATCTGGACTTCGCCGATGATATATGTCTGATTTCCCACAAACTGGAAGATATGCAAGTGAAAAGCAACAAGTTGGCAGAAGAAGCATCAAAGATAGGACTTCACGTGAACATAGATAAAACAGAGGTGATGAAGATTCCTGGCCAACATCAACAGCAACAACAACAGACAACAATCAGCATAAATGGGAGGAACCTGAAAGAAACAACCTCCTTCACCTACCTGGGAAGCATCGTCTCAACTACAGGCGGAACTGACGAGGATATCAAAGCCAGAATCGGAAAAGCAAGACAAGCTTTCATTACTCTCAAATCTGTGTGGAGGTCAACAGCACTCAGCATCAAAAATAAGATCCGGATTTTCAACTCCAATGTGAAGTCAGTGCTACTTACTATACGGATCAGAGACTTGGCGAGTCATAAAGAGCATCTCAAACAAACTTCAGACCTTCATTAACAGCTGTCTTCGCTCACTACTCAAGATCAGATGGCCAGAAAAGATCAGCAACAGGGATCTCTGGGAGCGAACCAAAGCAGGAACCGATTGTGAAACAAATAGGCAGGAAGAAATGGAGATGGATTGGCCATACTCTGAGGAAACACACATCACTAGACAAGCCCTCGAGTGGAACCCGACAGAGTGGGAAGCGGCGAGTTGGTCGTCAGTGCGAGGGTGGACTTTGAGGAGGTGATGTGAAGAGGAGATGAAGGTATGTGGGCAGACTTGGAGCGGAGTGAAAAAGTTGGCAAAAAACTGAACGCAATGGAGACGTTTTGGCTGAAGCCCTATGTTCCTCTAGGAACTAAAGGATACAATAATAATAATAATATATTAATTTTCAAGTAATGGTTTTGTAGGGATTCTGTTTGATTGTATGGAGGATTTCAGGCAGTTGACCTGGGGTTCTAGTGGGAAGCCGTGACCAGTAGGGTACAGCAGGTCGAATATGAGGCAGTAACTCATCAAAGAAGACATGGCGAAATGGTCACGTTGTGTCGTGAATTGGCAGAAGTTAGAATTCAAGAACCTTTGGATCGGGTTCCAGTGGCTAAATGGTCTACGAGGTCACTTGCCTTGTAACCAGCAGGTCCTGGGTTCGAACCCCGGTGGGTGGGTGAGAACTGATGAAGAGTCCCGAACTAGGCTGAAACAGTTGTCCAGTACTCCCAGGTTTTCCAGTGGTACTCTAACTGATGTCAGCTCATGAATAAATCCTCCATACAATCGAATAATATATTAGTTTCACAAAATTACAATTCATTACCTCATGTAATACACAACTAGAAAGCAACAAATTTCAAAACAAATCCACTCTTTACTATTTCAGAATGTTTAAGTGTCCACGAATAAAATTAGCAATAATCAAGAGTATTTTCATCATTGTGTGTTAGGGTTCACAGAAATATTTATGGTTGGGTATCAGAATACCTAAGACAGTGAAATACCGATCAAAGAGTAATGCACTGACTGAAATAAAATGAATATTTAATATTAGATGGTTGGAGGCAATCGGCCACAGGAAGCCTTGCTTGACACCTAGGTCTCGTGCTTGTTGGCACTAACCAGTCACAGCAAGGCGTATCTGCAACCTTCAAAGAACTCATATCTTCTCTGACATTCAAATCCGCGTCACCCAGTGCTGCAGTCAGTCAGAGACCTTACCACTGAGCTATTCGGGCACACCTGTTGGCCTCCTGTATGAGTGTATTTGATATTTTGATTGGGCACTACCTAGTAAATAGTGTAGTGTATCTAGTCAAATTCTTCCTGCCGACTGTTTCGAGTTATCTAATATCAACAATTCACCGTGCAGTGCATTTTGGCGGCGAACCATCTAGCATAATGGCCACATTGCAAACTTCACTGATAGAATTCAGTCTGCACCAAAGAAAGAAAGGACTAGATACACAACACTAATTTCTAACTAGTATCCAATCAAAATAAATGTTTGACCAGACAAGACAGAGCTCCCAATATTATTTTTGAAGAGTCACTTAGATTATCACAGACTCTTTTTTGAAGGAATACTGAAAATTACGTCTAGGTTTGAGTCTGAAACTTGATGGCTACTCAGGTAGTAATAAATATTTTCCACTAAATATCCTGTAATTATTATATGACGCTAATACCAGATTCATTCGCTGATGTGTGACTCATCAGTCTTGAGTCTCGACTTCCGACTAAAAGATTACGGGTTCGAATCCTGCTCCGCCGCCTT